GATGTGCTTTCGGTAGCTACTTCCTGGGATGGGCTCGACGATGAGACTCCACCTGAGCCGAAACCAGTTGAGAAATTGCAAACTGTTGAACAGAAACCCAAACCCACATCGAAACCCCCAAAAGAGCCACCAAAGAGAGTTGTCGCCGCAGAAACTCCAAAGGTGCAAAATGTAAAAGTTTTTCGTATACCAAAATTAAGCCCAGAGGAATTGAAGACACAGCCCTCTGTGATGCGGTCCCTCTACGAGCGGGAGGAGATTGATAATAAAGAAAAGCTATCGGCCAAGCCTGTTCCACCGCCACAGGGTGATCCTCCGCTGGCAGCATCCGCTCGCCAGCAACGCGCAGAAGCAACCGCTGCTCGACGGGTCAAAGAACCATTGCCTGTTTTTGCTCCACCCTATCGAGTACCTCCGGAGTCGACGGTTCCGGTGGTCAATGCCAGCAGCAAGATGTTCATCCCCCAGCTACCCGTTGCCCAGCCCCCGCCGAAGGGTAATATCAGGATAGTAGAGGTGTTTGGGGTCAAGTGCATGCAGTCTCTGGACAACAGGTGCAGCTCGTTCAACTGCGATCATACGTTGAACAGTTTGGGTGAGGTCCAAAGGCGTCTGGTCAAAATGGATGAGGAAACTTTGGTCAGCACCTATCGCCTGATGCTGCGAAGCTTCTTCCTGTTCCAGACCTACTTCTCCTCGTTTGTGGAAATTTTCGAACATCGCCAACTTCGGGAGCAGCTCCTTTATTTGGTGAGCGACTGCCGGTTCTACAAAGAAATCTCAGCTCCTTTGCTGGCTCACGTTTATAGCGTCCTGCAAAAATGTGGGATGCAGGAACAGGCCGTTGCTTGCATAATGGAGCACTTGTGGGTGCCATGCAAGGCACATAAGTTTCGAGATATGACGTTGGTGGTGTTACGTATTTTGTCCAGCGGCAACTGGGAGGATTATTACGATAAGCTAGCGGAACTCAAGCGGGTGTATGAATTTGAGATACCGATAGAGAATTTAATCACCATACTTAAATCGTCTCTGGACCACGCAGAAAAATTTGCAAAAGCCCTCAGCTTGATAACCATACATGAAAAAACTACTTGCCGCAATGAAACAATTTTGTCGATCCTAGCAAACAAAAGTGCGGGCGCAGTCCAGCGACAGCCAGTGCCAGAATCCTGCCCTCCATCGTTTGTTCCACCACATGCTGCTGGTCAGCAGTGTGCACCATTCAGGGGCCATCCCGTACTGCCAAATTATAGAGAACCACCTTCGCCAATAATCGCCCATAACTTTAATGGAAACAATGGAATTCATTATTCAAATCACTTTTCTAACAATTTAATTAAGCAAAACAAACGAATGTAATTATCTATGAAATGATCTGCGAATCTTTTCATGATTTTTGTTTTGACATTTAGCAGTAAATGCATATTCAATCACTTAACAATGATAGCTTAAGAATGAAAGTACCAAGTTTATTTCCAATTCATTTTTTACAAAAATGTTGTATTATTGAAATGATTAATAAATAAAAAGTTTAATGGCAAATTCAAATAAAATTTTTATGTGGGCGACACTGAAATCTCTAATTGGAATCGCAACCGAAGGCAATTCTGTATCATCTCCGAATACAAAAAAAGTTATAAATTACCTGTTACTGGCTGCTGTCGCCGTTAAAAATGTGGCATTTTTGAGAAATGTAAGCGATTACAATCCGCTGCGACACAGAAATAACTTCAACTTAAAGACGGTTGGAACTTGTATTCATGTACAGTACATAACATATTTGGTTGGGAAATATTTCTGTTTCCTATACTTGACAAACATTAAAGCTTCGGAATTCCAAAGGTAAATTTGAAAAATGTATTTAAACAAATTTAGGAAAGATTGGATAATGGATCTAAAGGCAAAGATTTCGGATTTCGTTTTGCGTTCAGACAAAAATCTTATGAACGTATATTTCAAACTAGTGTTCTTCTGAAGCTTGAACGATCGCAAACTTTGATTGACTAAGTCCGTTTTTAAAACACCATAAAAATTCGTTTATAATTACTTTTTATTAAGAAATAGGGTAGCACTAAATAAAAACGAGTCTTAACTATAAGGTAGACCTAGGTCTATCTCTTCTGTTTGCCTTTACTCCAGTTCTTTTTGCCGAAGCCCTTTTTTCCACCACTTCCTCCTCCTTTGCCACCGCCGCCCATGGGCTTCATGCGTTTGCGGGCGCCCGTAAAGTGCTCCGAATCGTCATGGTTGTCGCCGCCCCGCTTGTGGCCTCTGCCACCCTTCGTGTCCTCCAGATCTTTCAGCTCCAGCTTGGCGGTTCGTTGAGCCTCTGCCACCCGCTCTTGAAGGGCCATCACCTCGTCCTCTTCGCACTTGTACAGTGGCAGTTGCTTGCCCAGCAGGTGCTCGATGCGCTGGTACAGCTCAATGTCATACTGGCTGACCAAGGTGATGGCTTTGCCGGAGCGACCCGCTCTAGCTGTTCTGCCCACGCGATGGATGTAGTCCTTGCTGTGCGTGGGTATGTCGAAGTTGACGACCACATCCACATGTGGGATGTCCAGACCGCGGGAGGCTACGTCCGTGGAAATGAGAATAGAGCGATTTTTCGCTTTGAATTTGTTTAAAGCAGCTAGTCGCTTGTTCTGCGACATTTGGCCGTGCAGGGGAATGGCTGCCAGTCCCAATGCCCGAAGCATCAGGGCCGTCTTAACAGTGTTATTACAGGTGCTGCAGAAGATCATAAAGCTGTTGCCCGCCAGTTCGTTGAGGATATGCACCAGATAAACATCCTTGTATTTAACGGGGATAAATAGATATGACTGTTGCAACTGCTCAACCGTCTGGTACTTGTTGGAGACCTCAACCTTCACCGGATCCTTCAGCGAGGCGCGCTGAAGTTTCTTCACCTTCTTGGTCATGGTCGCACTGAACAGGAAGGTCCGCCGTTCGCGCGGCAGCACCTTCAGGATCTTGTCCAGCTCCACCTCAAAGTCCATGTTCAGAATGCGATCTGCCTCGTCCATGACCAGGTATTTAATGGCTTTCAGGTTGAAACCCTTCATGTTCTCCAGGTGATCAACCAGGCGACCCGGTGTGGCAATGATGATGTGTGGCTTCTTGGCCAACTGCAGACCCTGGGCCACCATGTCCATGCCGCCGACGACCACACAGCACTTGATGCCAATACTGCTGCCTGGAAAAGAGAGTAGCTACCATGAGCTTGGGTGACTTAATATTTAAATTACAACTAAGGGGGACAGTTTTAACTCAGAGGTAGTGACGAATAAAGAAATAATAATTTCACATTTTCGTTGGAAAACAAAATCAAAACAGGTTTAACATCATTGTGTGGTTTGGTAATAATCAAATAAACTAAGTTAGACTTACCAAGCGCTTCAAACTGCTCGCCTATTTGGAAGGCCAGTTCCCTCGTGGGCGTTAGCACCAGGGCGAAATATCGCTGTGGATTCTCGAGCAGGGCGTGCAAAATGGGCAGGGCGAAGGCTCCCGTCTTGCCGGAGCCCGTCTCCGCCAGGCCAATTACATCCTTGCCCTGCAGCGCCACCGGAATGGCCTCACGCTGGATTTTCGAAGGTGCCTTCCACTTTAGTTCTTCGCAGGCCTGACACAAAGTATCATTGAGTCCCTGCGGGGGAAAAAGAGAAGCCTTAGAGGTAATCCGGAAGATGATTTTCGAGTGGCACACGTACTAGATCCTTCCAGGTCAGCTTCTTGTCATCAGCTGCGTCGTCCTCCACGTCGGAGCCACTAGCTGCACCATCGTCGCCATTTTCCACCGCCTCATCCTCATCTTCATCGCCTTCTGCTTCCGAACCATCTTCCTGCTCCTCCTCGCCACTTAGCTCCTCCTCTTCGTCGCTGGTTTGCAGCTGCGTCTGTTCGTCCTCTGAAGTTTCCGACATTTTGTTACATGAGTTTCGGCAAAAATTTGGGCACGCTATGGAAATTACCACCAATCTCCGCACGTGGTTGGAACCATCGATAGTATCGATGGTTGGCCGCCGGTGACCAGTGCTGCCAGATTTTGGGAGACACCATAAGCTAGATTGAAAGAAATAAAAAGCTAGAATAAGCTAAAAATAAAAATAAAAAAGTTTAAAAATAAGCCAATCATAAAAACAAAAAAATTAATGCTTTTAGAATTTTATTAGTAAAGAAATGATTTCATCAACTTCGTCATTGGATTCCGTGTATTTGGCGGATGATTTAGCTAAAGCAAGGTATTTGTTTGGAATTTCATAATAATGGCAACATTTGCCATGACGTCGTAGTCCATATCTATAAAATTCAAAAGAATATCTTTAGTGTATAATAAATAATTAAACATTTTAAAATCCAACCTAATGCTTAATATTGCGTTCAAACTTTTTAAGCCCATTTTATTGCGCAAATTGTTTTTAACAATATTCATTTGGCTGAATACTCTCTCAACCGCAGCATTTGAGAATAGAAAATACCAAAATACGAGAAACAAATATGACTTTTGTACGATTAATCGATAAAATTAAAAAAATCTGACAGTACAATCATAGAACAAAACTTGTTTTGCTCTAATTTTTTAAGCTTAAATAGGCGAAATAAAATTTAAAATAAGCCAGATTTCAAGCCATAAGCATTTCAAGTTTTGTAAGCTATTTGATTTTAAAATAAGCTAAATCTAGCTTAAAATAAGCTAATATGGCAACACTGCGTAAGTGTCAGTAAAAAAGGGAGATAGCCTCAGCGTAAGTGGCGCCCTCTGGACTTGCAAATAAAAAGAAAACGCCCTTTGGCCTTGGAATTTATGAATCCAACCAGAATGTATGTGGGATCCAACTAGATCATCTGAAAATCGATTTCATCAAATTATCGGGAAAGTCAGGAGCCTGTCTCCGCTATTCCAGGATGGTGTCTTTGCTAGGTTATCGATGCCTCGCTCAACATCGATGCCCCATATCGATGTATTTTTACATCACATTGATATCGAGTAATGTCGACAAAAAATCGATGCCCGATACCGATGTATTTTTTACATCACATCACTACTATTGATTGAATTTACGCAAATACAAGATTTTCCTGTTCCAATGCAAAGTAAGCCCCAAAACGGCCGTTAAAAGTGGCAGATAAGGAAAAATCAGAGCGCGTAGGCGGTGATTGTCCCAAAGCATCGCTTATCTGCGAATTGCGGGCTTTGCTTTCCGGTTGGCCAGGGAAAACGCCTACTAAAGCAAAAACTAAAAGCGTTCCAAGTCGAGTGGGAGACATTTGATACTGACAATCTGCACACAAATGTGATGTGATTCGGTTATTAATTTTCGCAATTGCATTGCAGGTAAACCATAAAAATCCATTGTGAAAATTTGTGGGGTGGTGGGTGCCAAAACGGATACTCAATAGGCGACAGCCGTAGTAAAGAGAGCGGCGAAGAGAGTGCGCAGCGAAAGGGAAAGAGAGCCTGATTTGATGTGTACTCGAAAGCGGCCGAAGAGAGCGCACTAATACACACACACACGGGGAAGGAAAAAGGACGAGCAAGAGGAAGAGCTTTCCGGAGAAACTAGGATAAAGTGTGTTTGGCCAAAATGAATCCGGCGGTGGATGCGTGGGCGGTGACTCCGAGGGAGCGCCTGAAGTACCAGGAGCAGTTTAAGGCCCTCCAGCCGCAGGCAGGATTCGTGACCGGCGCCCAGGCCAAGGGATTCTTCCTGCAGTCCCAGCTGCCGCCCCTGATCCTGGGACAGATTTGGTAAGTATCTGGATTTGTGGGATGCCGCCGTGAATCATACCCAGATAAGAGCTTCGATACTTACTCATCCGCTTATCTTCAGGGCTCTGGCGGACACCGATTCGGATGGCAAGATGAACATCAACGAGTTCAGCATAGCCTGCAAGCTGATCAACCTCAAGCTGCGCGGCATGGATGTGCCCAAGGTCCTGCCGCCCAGTCTGCTGGCCTCCCTCACCGGCGATGGCCAGAAGACGCCCTCGATGACACCACGTGGTTCCACCAGCTCCATGAGCCCCTTGGATCCGCTCAAGGGGATGGTTCCCCCCGTCGCCGCAGTAGTTCCCCCTCCCGTGGTGGCTCCTCCGCCGGTGGCTGCTGTTATCTCGCCGCCCGGCGTCGTGGATTTGGCCAAGGTACCCGCTGGCCCCACGCCGCCCTCCAGCAACCCACCTAGTCGCCACATGTCCATCTCGGAGCGAGCGCCCTCCATCGAGTCTGTGTGAGTATTTTTATGATCGTTATCTAAGGGAATTCCAGTAGGAAAGTAAGCGACTGCTTACTCATAATGCTTTTTTATGAAAACCAATAAACCTTTTCTAAAAAAAAAACTCAATAACACAACGGCAATAGAGAAAGTTAAATTGAGTAATGATTATTAGGGAGTATTTATCGTCTACTTTATGAAATTGGCAATATAAAAACCTCAGCCAAATATAATTATAAATCATTTATTACACATTATATGACTGTATTAATTATTTATCTATCCTTCTAGCAATCAAGGAGAGTGGGCCGTCCAAGCTGCCCAGAAGCGCAAATACACTCAGGTGTTCAATGCCAATGATCGCACTCGATCTGGTTACTTGACCGGAGCCCAGGCACGAGGCGTTCTAGTGCAGAGCAAGCTGCCCCAGGTGACGCTGGCCCAGATCTGGACGCTGTCTGACATCGATGGCGATGGTCGGCTCAACTGCGACGAGTTCATTCTAGCCATGTTCCTGTGCGAGAAGGCCATGGGTGGCGAAAAGATTCCGGTCACCTTGCCCCAGGACTGGGTGCCACCCAATTTGCGCAAGATTAAGTCTCGTCCTGGCTCGGTTTCTGGAGTGGTATCTCGTCCTGGCTCGCAGCCCGCCTCCCGGCACGCCTCCGTATCATCGCAGGGCGGAGTGGGAGCCGTGGACGCTGATCCGACAGCCGGACTGCCTGGACAAAGTAAGTGTTTGGAATTCAATAACTTTTTAAACCATAGGTATACAATAAGTATTTGTAGATTTTAAAAGTAGTCATTACTATTTTTTACAATTGTGTTCTCTCGTTTTGCAGCTTCCTTCGAGGACAAGCGCAAGGAGAATTATGTGAAGGGTCAGGCAGAGCTCGATCGTAGGCGCAAGATCATGGAGGACCAGCAGCGCAAGGAGCGGGAGGAAAGGGAGCGCAAGGAGCGCGACGAGGCGGATAAGCGTGAGAAGGCCCGCTTGGAGGCCGAGCGTAAGCAGCAGGAGGAACTGGAGCGACAGCTCCAGCGTCAGCGGGAGATCGAGATGGAGAAGGAGGAGCAGCGCAAGCGGGAACTGGAAGCCAAAGAAGCGGCCAGAAAGTAAGCAACTATACTATGCCTCAAAACAATATGTACTGATTTATTTCCCATCCCATCAGGGAACTGGAAAAGCAGCGCCAGCAGGAATGGGAGCAGGCTAGAATTGCTGAGATTAACGCACAGAAGGAGAGGGAACAGGAGCGTGTCCTTAAGCAGAAGGCACACAACACCCAGCTCAATGTGGAGCTGAGCACACTGAATGAAAAGGTTAATTATATTTTAATTTTAATTGGGCCATCTTACTAATATGCATCAATTACAGATCAAGGACCTTTCGCAGAGGATTTGCGATACTCGGGCAGGCGTGACCAATGTAAAGACCGTAATCGATGGCATGCGCACTCAGCGCGACACTTCCATGTCCGAAATGTCGCAGCTGAAGGCGCGTATCAAGGAGCAGAATGCCAAGCTGATGCAGCTCACCCAGGAGCGGGCCAAGTGGGATGCCAAGAGCAAGGCCAGCGGCGCTGCCATGGGAGGCGAGAATGCCCAGCAGGAGCAACTCAATGCGGCCTTTGCCCATAAGCAGGTGAGAAAATCTTTGTTATGACCTCACTTAATTTGAATCTTTGTCCTAACAATATGTTTATTTCATCAACAGTTGCTAATTAACCAAATCAAAGACAAAGTCGAGAACATTGGCAAGGAGATTGAGTCGAAGAAGGAGGACATCAACTCCAACGACATACAGATGTCCGAGCTCAAGGCGGAACTCTCAGCTCTGCTCACCAAGTGCGAGGAGCTGTACAAGGAATACGATGTGCAGCGCACTTCGGTGCTGGAATTGAAGTACAATCGCAAGAATGAGACCAGCGTGACCTCGGCCTGGGACACAGGCGCTTCCAGTGCTTGGGGAGAGGCGGATACGACTGCCGCCGATCCTTATGCAGGTATGAGCAACGACATAACCGCTGTGGCAGCTCCATCTGTGGATTTGAGTGGACCGGCTCCCGAAGGGTTCGTGAAATATCAGGCAGTGTACGAGTTCAACGCGCGCAATGCCGAGGAGATTACTTTCGTGCCGGGTGACATCATCCTGGTGCCATTGGAACAGAACGCCGAGCCGGGGTGGTTGGCTGGCGAGATAAACGGCCACACCGGCTGGTTCCCCGAGTCCTATGTGGAGAAGCTGGACGATAGTGTCGTTGCCCCCGTCGCCGCCGTCGAACCAGAAGTTGTGGCCGAAGTGGCCGCAGTGGCGGACACCTACAATGACAATATAACTATCAGCGAAGCTCCGGCAGCTGCTGCCGATCTAACTGCTGCCGGCGATGTCGAGTACTACATAGCCGCATATCCTTATGAGTCCGCCGAGGAGGGCGATCTGAGCTTCGGCGCCGGCGAGATGGTCATGGTGATCAAGAAGGAGGGAGAATGGTGGACGGGAACCATTGGCAGTCGCACCGGCATGTTCCCCTCGAACTACGTCCAAAAGGCGGACGTGGGTACGGCCAGCACGGCCCCAGCGGATCCAGTAGAAGCTCTGGATCAGGTAAGTGGATAGCTTATTAAAATATTGTAGTTTTGTGTGGGTCCATTTGTTTAACAAGTCGATTGGTATATACAAACAAGCAAAGAACTAGGTACCGATATCCAAAAGCTACAGGACTTATTTATAAATTCAATATGCGATAAAGATTTTATAATACTAATGTAACTGTAATTAAATATTCTAGATATTCTAGGTACTGATATCTAAAAACTTTAGAAGTTATTTACAAACTCATTCTGAGATACAAAATACAAATGTAATTATATTTAAATTTTCTAGATATATTTTCAATGATATAAATATGTTTGTTGTAAAAACTTGCATAAGTACCTTTTATTCTCATGCAAACTTCAAAATAATGTGTTAGGTATCTTAAAATGTAAAGTGTTAGATTTTTGACTATTTTTTGTTCAGGAGAGAGTTTTAATTATTATGTAAATACAATTTCAAGGCAAAATTAGTAGTTTGACTCACACTTTTGTTCACGTATACAGAGTTCACAACCCCAGAGTTTTTAGTCGTGTCTAACCGTTGCCCTCATGTCCATCTACTAATCCAATGCTTTTCATGTGCTGTGCTTTTTGCCACCGTTGTCGTAACACTTGCACTGAACCAGGAGACGACGCTGAACGGCAACGCTGCCTACGCCGCTGCTCCCGTGGAGGCAGAGGAGCAGCTCTTCCAGCCGCTGCCTGTCCAAGAGCTCAGCGAGCAGCCGATCGCCAGCCCGGGCGTTGGCGCCGAGGAGGCACACGAAGACCTCGACACTGAAGTTTCCCAGATCAATACACAGTCCAAGACACAAAGCAGCGAGCCGGCCGAGAGCTACAGCCGACCCATGTCACGCACCTCTTCCATGACACCCGTAAATAGTTGACACCGCCTGTTACTGCGCCCATTTATAGTAGCATTTAATAAACCAACATCTTTATTTTGTATAATCATCTTACAGGGCATGCGGGCCAAGCGTTCGGAGATTGCTCAAGTAATCGCACCCTATGAGGCAACCAGCACCGAGCAGCTTTCGCTGACGCGAGGCCAATTGATCATGATCCGCAAGAAGACGGACTCCGGCTGGTGGGAGGGTGAGCTGCAGGCGAAGGGAAGACGACGCCAGATCGGTTGGTTCCCGGCCACGTATGTGAAGGTTCTTCAAGGCGGACGCAACAGTGGACGCAATACTCCAGTATCCGGTAGTCGCATCGAAATGACCGAGCAGATCTTGGGTGGGTTTTCAGATATACGCCTATATGAAGCTGCACTAGAATAACTAAAAATACCAAATGGGAATTCTAATCCTTGGATATTTTATTTTATTTTAGAACCAAATAGATATTATGTTTTTAAACTGATTTTTAATGTTTTCTACCCCTACAGACAAGGTCATCGCTCTCTATCCGTACAAAGCACAAAATGACGACGAGCTGTCGTTTGAGAAGGACGACATCATCAGCGTGCTGGGTCGGGATGAGCCGGAGTGGTGGCGCGGCGAGCTGAATGGCCTTTCCGGACTGTTCCCCAGCAACTATGTGGGACCCTTCGTGACGTCCGGTAAGCCGGTGAAAGCTAATGGCACCGCCAAGCAGTGAATCTCACAACTGCAGCTCCAGCCCTCTGCCAGGCGTAGCTCTCTTATTTCCACATTCCATATACATAAATTATTAATTTTATCTACTATATTTGATTTCGAATAAGCCATGCCAATTTGTTCTCGCCTCGTCGCTGTCAAAGAAAATACCCTCTTATGTTTAATGTTAATTTGTTGCAATATTTCCAAGATGTATCTAATTGTTAATTGTGATTATTTAGTTTTTAGATTTACTCTTAAGTTGATCGATGGCGCACTCTCTCTTTTTCGTTTAGCCAATCTATAGTGTTAATTTATTTGTGTATTTATTTAGCCTCCATATTTATATTTTGTATTGCATTATTTGTATTTTGTATATAAAGTAAACCAATTAAATGCGATTTCGATTTTAATTGCCAACAGGAAACGTATAACGAGCCTTCGGCTTTGGCCTCTAAGCGGCAACAGGCACTCGCTTATACAAAAAACCGACAAACAAATCTACACGATCCCTTGGGAATTGGGTTATCTTAAGATCAGCAGCAGCATCAATATCCTCCGTAACTACCTAGCCGGAATTCGTACGATATTCTGAAGAGCCCAAAAGTCGGCTACTTACATTGTTCAACCTGAATGGTTGTCATACGTCGTTTTTTCCACAATGTTTATCCTCTTCGGTGTGAAATTCCCTTAACTTGTTGATAGAATTAGTAAGCAGATCTCATCTGAAACCATTTATAGAATCAAACATTGCTCTCATGTTCGTAACCGATCAATCGAAAGATACAACCGAAATCTAGTAAGTCACATTTTAAAGGATTTATATAGTAATCTGCATATGGAAACTACAAAATACATAATGATATCAAATGACAATTACAATTTCGTTGTATTAGATGTGTTTATCGATCAAAGCCAGAATATTCAACAGTTTTTTCCCCAAATGCTACTATACACACACGCATATAGTATCTATAACGATGGTTTTCTGTGTTTTCCAATAATATCCGAATATAATTGTATATACTTAAAGTATTCCAACCAACAAGTGGGAGTACGAATTATTGTTAACTAAATATTAAGCATGATGACCATTTTCTTATATCTTAATGAAAACTATGAAGACATCAAGAATAATGGATATACGGGAGATATATTAGCTTACACGTACGGGCAACAGTATTGATAATATTAAAGATATTTGTAATTGGTTTAATTCTTTTTTTGAGTAACATACTTGATTTAATAACTAATTTAAGCGCTTGTCTCAACTGCCATAATTGTATTTATTTAATGTCTATTGTCTTATTGATGAATGTTGAATTGTTTGCCGCTAGCTTAAAGTATCTGTGTCCGAAGCATAGGAATGGATGAGATGTAAAAATTGAGTATGTACAAAATCCACATAGAGAAGTTCATTCAAGCCGATTGGAATGATAGTCGGATATTATAGAGGGCCACGTTATGCTGTTCGAATCTGTTTATGCTAGTTACAGGTAGTCTATTTATCAAAATCACACATATTTGTATGTATCTACGCTATTTCGTACATATGAAGAAACACTGTCGATTGCCTTTCAAAAAATGATAACCAAAAAAAATCACCTTACATGGATTAACTTAATCGTAACTTGTTATTGCATACCACGACTATTTATGCGTCTATAGCTCTATTAAACGAAACCAAAGTAAAAAATCGTTATAAGCCCCGCAAAGCGACGATCAGTTGGCGAAACAAACTCAACTGATCTTCGCTGGGCGGGGAATTTCTGAAAGCATAAACACATATTTATGTAGCTAAATGTTGGGTTGATTATTGATTCCACACATATGTACTAATAAATTTAAACGAACCAAAAAACTATGATATACATACTATATAGAGAAAGTACTAAAAATTTCTTTAGAAAAAGCAAAGCAAAAATGTTAATTGAGATATTCGTACATTTCGAGCCCCACATATACACCCCCGCATACATATAATGCTCATATAAGCGTACTTGTTTAATCGTTAAAAAAGTTAATTATTGTAAACAATGCTTAAGAATACTTACCGACGACGAGGAGGAAACCCCAATTCTGTACGCATTAGCACACTCACCTACACTGAGACTCACTTTAAACGCGAAATGGTGACCATCGATATATTTACCTATATACAAGCCGAACTGAGGAGAACTTATAGACATCCTCTGCAGACACACAATGCATACGAGTAAATATAAAGTGAATTCTTCGAGAAAAACAAAACTAAAAAAATACCATTAAACATATTGAAATATATCAGTTTCAAACATAATTAGAAGAAAAGTAAAAAAAAGGAGAAAACAAAAAATATTAAATTAAATTATGAAAATAAAAAAATAACACATATTTGGTGCAATAAATGTATAAAAGGAATTTCAAACAAAATGTTTTTTAATTTTTATACCTAGTAATGTAAAAGGGTATACTGTTTTGGTATTATAGGATTCAATAGGATGGGATATAAAATGGATCCTATAGGGTTGATTCCAAATGTATACTCCAGAAGTTCCCAACTTAAATGGTCGGAACAGTCGACTACAGTACTCAAAATGTTTCATAATTATATCATGACTATACACCCACAGAGATCGATCCTCATCAAAATGCCAGAGTCAGAAGATCAAACGGAATACAGAAATTATGGCAACAGTGGTGCAGATCTGAAGCCGATTCGGGTGATCAGGTGGATGCCACATCCAAGAATAAGCTGCAGGGAACCATCCAAGCTGTTCACATATCCAGGCGGCGGGATGGACAACTCATGGGATGCGCTTACGTGCGATTCGAGTGTAATGAGGTGATGGCAAGGTCCATGTTCCAGGAAAACGGCAATCGGTTGGTGGGCAAAACCGTGGTGGTCGACTGGCAGCCTCAGTCGCCCAAAAAACGATTCGTTCCTTGGCGATGCTGGTGAAACCATCGCCACCCTCTTCTGTTACCAAAATTACAAGAGTTTCGTTCTAAATTATTTTTTTTTCATTAAATTTATTTTTAGTAAAATTTTTTTTCTTATATAATATTTAAAATCAGTTTAACAATTTACAATTCTTACTTTCGGGTTTGCATCGTGTGTTTTTTGAATTTTTTTTTTGTTATTTTGCGCTATCAATATTTTTATTAATTTTGAAGTATGCACAACTTAAGGCCTACGGTATGAAAACTGCAAACACTTTCTCGATTTAGTCATCAATTGAATTCAAGGTTAGTTTTCTTAAGCAAGTAATTTATGAGTCAGCGTCCAATATATAAATTCTTAATCCCACAATCCATTTTCTATTTCTGAAATTCAGTGGAATAATTCAAGTTTATATAGAAAACCTGCTCACAATATAACACAGCTCTGATTTTTTATGTTTTTTTCCATTAAAGATTTATTGAAATGACAATTTCCAAGATCTCGCGTCTCTTGTAGCCGTTTATTGTCTTTCTGATCGAAATAAAAATGTGAAACAAACTATGATAACCAATTCTATCTGATCTGGTGTGCATATTCAGAAGGCAATTTCTTGGATAGAACATAATGCGAATACAAACTACTTAGGTCTTAGATGGTTAAACTAAAGTTTGGTACTAGGGGCGCGTTGCACATCAGTTAGAAAATATATATTTATTTTGTATTACTCGTAGTTGGTAGGTATGTGTTCCATTTCCACGATTTACCGTTAGCAGTCCCCGCAAATATTTTTAGGTAGGTAGGTTCCAGAATATTATCCCATCATTCTGGATATTGGCTACTGTATCCTCAGTTGGCTCCGTGCTTCTCCTTGGGTCTGGTCTGGTAATTAGAGTTTATTCTTCTAATGCATTTTCAAATCTACGTCAGCATAGTGAATTTATTTATATTCAACTATCTCTAGTTTAATTTACTTGATTTTGAGCATGTTAAACTATTTTTTTATGCTTGGTTAGCTCAATCCTAGTCATGCACTCATTCCATACATAATCGTTCGCAAATCTCTCGCTCGTTCGAACATTTCCACCATTAGGTTTTCATCTTTATCGTTCGTAAATGTTTACAAAAATAATTTATAAATTACATAACTCTGTCCATTTACCTGTCCACTATTAGTTACTTGATTTGTGTATATTTTATAGTTAGGGTCAGCCAAAGTTTTACTCAGCTGCCTCTGTGGTGTGCTTTTCTTTTAAATAAAAGGTCAGCATATAGAGGTACTACAGAAAATCTATAAATGTATGATCTCTTGTAACAGGAATCTGATGTTATCAAAACTAAAATGGACTTTTCAACAGACTTGGAAATTCTTAAAATTTCTGGAGTTGTCTCATAGTTTTAAAATGCATTAAAATGTTACTTGTAATAGGCTGATGAAAGTTATTGAACTCACAGTTTCAACTGAGTAAAACTTTGCTGTATTATTCTTAGTTCTGACTCTGCGGCTATACAGAAATTAATTTCTTTAAACTCATTAATTTATTAACTAAGGCTAAAATTGAACTAAACTCTGCGATTTCACTATGTTATCGAACTAAGTACGCGCTTAAGTACGGTTAGCAACACATTATCGCAATGTGATCTCAATTTGGTACATTTTGTCTAAATTATAAACAAAGAAATCAACGTTTGTTATAGGCTTAATAAGAACTTTGGCTACGCTTTGTTAGTTATTAAACAATTAATTTGCTTGCTTGCTATTTTGGAACACATCTGCTGAAATCACTAAATCGGTTTTTCGATATATACGTTTGTGGTACATAATAACATTTGATCGGGATTAAACACTAAACACAAACTGGAAGTTACAAATCTTAAGAAGCGACTTAAAAGACGAAGAAGAAATTAATTTGTTGTTCAAATCTGGTGTTATATACAATTTTTTTTTGCTATTTCCTTTCCTAGGCTTTTGTCCGATTCTTGTGGTTTGACAATATAATTATAAAGCTTTTTGTTTTAAACCATTTTTTTTGGGGAAACTATTTAGCAACTCTTTGTCAACTTTAGGCTTACAAACTAGGTCATATAAATGTGTGTGGGGTGTGTTCCGGAGTTAGTTAGTAGAACATCTCGTATGGGAATAGGCGCCGCCGTGAACTTTTTGGAATACGGGATGGTGGTACTGAGATGGTTGGCAGATCCTCGTCCTCGTCATCATCCAGTTCCTCCTCCACATCGCCATCCGTGCTCGATACTCAAATGATGCTCTCGTCGTTGTTGCGGGTCAGCCGAATGCTTGTCGTGGTGGTGGTGGTTGTGGCGGTATTGGCATCCGATCCCGATCCTGGACTGGAACCCGATCTCCTGCCCGTGGCTGGGGTCGTAAAGGTGGTGACCACAATGTTCTCGTCATCGTACGAATCAAAGTCCTCATCCTCATCGTCATCGTTCTCCTCGGAGTCCGAATCGGAATCCTCGTAGTCCAACAGAGCCTTGGTCACCTGGTTTCTCCGGCCTGCTTGGGTAACCGCTGCCCCGCCCACCGCTCCAGCGTTCATGCGACGGATTTGGGCGCGGGGCGTGTTGGAGGGGCGTGGCAGAAGGGGTTCCCTGCCGCTCAATCGCATCATTCGTTCGCTGTTGGCTCCGCCGACGGCGGACAGTGCTGCTCCCTCCCAGTCATCCGAATCCGCCGGCTCGCACAAGGACTTGGAGTGTCCATGCTGGTACGACGACTCCTCGGGTATTGTGTCTCTGTTGGTGGTGTTGTGTGGTGTGTGCGGTGGTTGTAGGTGGTTTGGTTTGGTGGTCGGTAATCGATGGTGTGGGATGATGTGAAGAGAAGGCGTAGAAAGTTAATGTCATAGTTGTGATCAATTTTGGCTAATGATTTGGTTTGGGTATTCGTTTTGGGTTAATGTTAGCATGTGAAACTACGGCTAATTAAGGAAGAGTTTTTTAAATTACTTTGTAAAAAACTAACAATTAATAAGGAGTAAATTTAAAAAAATATATTTATTCATTTTAGGCACTACATTTAAGCAAATTAAAACAGGAACAGGAAGATGGAAGATAAGCTTATAAGGAAGACTTGTTTAAGGCACAGTATAACAGTTCTACTTTACATTTACACTACGTGTTTCGTAAATACAATACAATTTCTTCGAGTCCGCTGTTTGGATTTTGTTTGTAAACTAAGAATTTAATGAAAAAATGGTTTTGGGATTAGCACAGAGAAGAATGTTCGTGTTAAGTGGGTTCAGTTGTTAGTTGTGCCGAGCCCAGGCACTGTGTTATACGTATAACACTTTGGAAAGATACTTTGTCTAATACTTACACATAGTTTGTGTGATTAAAGCCGTTCAAAGATACACTTTAATTTAGATATAGAAATTGTGTCTAGTAAAAGTTATCACAGGTGCTCCCAACTGTATAACAGTTTGGTGTCAGTGTGTGGTTGTGTGTGTGTAGAAATATGTGGTGTGTTTTTGTGCATTTAGTGGACAGTTTAGCTAGTTAATTGCTCTGGCTCTGTGCTCGTTTCGGGTTTGACTAATCAGATTCAATTGATACGCCGCTAAAAAATATAATTTTTCATCAAATCGTTTACCAATGAGATTGGTTCGTTAACCAGTTATTAGTTTGTTAAGTAGTTCGGATGAGAAATTTCTCAAAACAAATAATATGCAGCACAGCAGACATCATGGAGTAATTAACTTAATTTTTTAAAATTGTATTGCATTGGCTGGAGAGTGGGTTAATAGTTTTATAGGAAGGGCTGGATGCTTTTAGGTTTCATAACATTGGATAAAAAACTGTTATACATAAAACAAACACACATTAAGACAGAAGCGGAATGCAAACAAAAAGTTCAATGTTAAAAAAAAATAAATGGGATAAAACTACATTCGTAATAATGTTTTATAACTGTCCCATAACTGTTATAAATGATCACTGGATTTAATTTTCAGTTATAGGACTGTTATACAACTGATATACAACCAATGGGTGCTAGTCAATAAAACTGCAAACAAAATTGAACAACTTCAGCAGCCCAGCATATTTTTTTTTGAATGCAGAATATGAATGCCTGGCACTGAAACAATCGATCACCAATTAACAACATCCTAGTTTCAAAGTTATATACAGTGGAGAATAAGGCGAAATTTGTAGGACCAGTTTAGAGATCTGTGTTGAGTGAGTGCGAGGAATGAAGTTCGAATCCAATTGCAAGACTATTATATTATTCACCGGAATCAATTTTAAGAGAACCAATTCCAGCTGAGATGAACAGAGATTGCTGACAAAGTTTAACCTACAAGGGCTGACTGTTACTCTACAATGATATGCTCTGATCTGTGGGCTCTATATACAATAAACATATTTCGTATATAAAGTTCGTGTGGTTAGTATTTAGAGAGTTATCATATGTACGCTAGTATATGTGGTAGTTTTAGCATTGTCTCTTGGTTCACAGAGTTTCGAAATTCGATAATGGCCGGTTTGGATTGCTCAAGACATTTTGATTTCGGTTAGGTTCGGTTCGGATCGGTACGGCTTAGCTCATTACTTTGGATAGTATGTATATGTGGCGCTATCCTCTGATCTTGGGGTGGTGGGCGTCGAGTAACTCGCGCTTGCTGATGTTGTTTCTGTTGAATTGTTGGTGGTGTTGTTGTTGTTCTTGGTGGTTGATGTGGTTGTTGTTGTTTTTACTGTAGTTGTTGTTGTTATTGTTGAAGTAGTAGGAGGTGGAGGAGAAGGAGTTGTGATCTTGGCTGACTCTAGTAAATTAGTTGCTCCCGGACTAAATTGTAAAATTCTACTGGGCCTTCGTCCAGTTGTAATGAGTCTGTAAAATAATCATCACAATAAAAGACACAGACGAGGGCTCAACCACAAAATATCCACAAACACAGAATAACGCCTCATTTTGAGTACAAATTGTATAATAAGCAAGGTTTTTTTACTTTGCGGAAAAGGGTGCAACTAAAGAGTGTGAACAAATGGGAATATTAAAGCGGAAAGATTATCGTAGGAAAACGGGATATACTCATAGGAAATTTTTGGATAAAAAGAAATGGATACCACTTCGACTGATGAAAGCCGAATCCTCTTTTTAAGCAAATCCCGAAATGGGGAATATTGTATATTATTATAGCAGAATCAATTGAAAATCTGGATCACATAGTTGAAGATCTTGTTCAGCCAAATCAATAAAATTAGCATTAATTTTGTGTCATGCTAATTTTAAAGCTAATAATAAAAACAAGGAACGTTTGAAAGATGACTTTTCTACTTTAAAATAATAAGAAATAAGCTAAAAATATTAAAACAATAAAAATATTAGCTACTGAGTAATATTAAAATGTTAGCTTTAACCAATAATTTATGCGTATTAGTAAGCTATTATATATACAAGCGTAAAACGAGGAAACTATTTACTGAAATGGGCTTTCAGCTAGGATTTTAGTGTATTTTAAGAGCTTGGTTTAGACACTTAGTTCTTAACGGGTTGTCTAGCAGGCCTTAGGGTAAAATGGCTTTTAATAAATATTATCATTATCGTACCAAAAAATATTTTATCATGTAAATGAACATTCCTTAGAGTTCGGCTACAGATATATTTAGCATAAATATTATTGTTATGAGAAAGTATTATAATTTTAAGGAATTAAATCATATATAATTATCGCATTTATGTAATACTTGGATTTTAAGATAAAATTCTTAAAAGACTGGTCAACAAAAATAAAATGGTCAATAAATATTTTATAAAGTTTTTGTATAGATAAATTTAACTTCAGTATTACCACTTTGCAAAACTTTATGATACTATCACCCAGTTACATATCAAGATATTCAATTTTATGAAAATATACTTAAAATACCCATTTCAGTCTCATAAAAAACACAAAAACACTAGATGAGTTTATCAGCACAAACCAATGAGCATAGACAATTAGGTGTGTAGTCATTCGGTGTCTGACCAAGTGGACAAGCAACTTACCCGCTCAGCTCCAGCATGGAGCCCCTGCGCACATTCCGCCGGTGACTGGCCGTGACCGGAAATGGTCCGGAATGACCATCCGGTCCCAGCTGATGTGGCCCGGCGCCCAGCGAACCGGAGGATATCGACTGGGAGCGCTTGTCCAGCCGCGGATTGTGCATGGACGTTGATGGAACATTGGCCGGTTGATTGGACATGGGCACGACCATCGCATCCGACCCACTGGCGGCTGTGTCCACGGCTCCCGAGCTGCCGATGCCAACGCTTCCGCCCTTCGAACTGGAACTCTCACGCCGGAAGAGACCTATGACGGACTTGGGCTGTTTAGGCTTGTTTATACCACCTTTTTTTTGTGGATTCGTAGGTCGCATTTTTGGAGGGGTTTTATTTTACAGGGTGTTCGTGTGGTGTTTCGTGGTGTGGAGGCGTGGGTGGGTGTTTCGAGTGGGCAACAGTTACCGAGGGAAAACAATGCGGGGAAAAGAGAGAAAGAAAAAAAAGGAACATTTTAGGAAAATCACAACGAAATGAACAACAAATCAGTAAACACACAAAAACTGGGGTGCAATTTTGCCATCGTATATCGGTTATCATATTTTTGTCACTTGTGCTCATAATACAATCAAGTAAAGTATAGACATTAAGACGAATATACAGCCAGATTGAAACATATGTACAAATCTGTTTGGGCTTGCACAGAGAAAAACAGTAAGTCCTTAACAATTTTTTAACATTTGAAATGTTTTTTAAAATTTATATTATTTTAACATACCAATTATTTTTATTCTATACCTTTATAATATTTAAGAACTCATATTTGAGGCCAATCAATCATTTCTGTGATTTTTCTACGTGCAGCCATACTTGGTTTAACCAATTTACAAACAGTAAACAACTGAGGACATGAATATATCAAAAGAACAATCATAGGAGAGCCCCAAAATAACCTTTCGGAAATTGTTGTGTGATTGTCGGAAAACACGTTTCCTATCCCTTTGTTAAATATCCTAAAAAGCTTAAATAATTGTGTGTTGCATACATTACCTAGGAATGTTGCACTGGGGGAATTGTAGGCCAAGTACTCCTTGTTTGAAGCCCAGGCGGGGAACTCGTTCTGCTGCACTGCATCCGTGCATTCGTCACCTTGTCGTTTCCACGGCAGCTGGGATTCCGTGGCGGTGGGCGTGGCCACACGCCTCTCTCCATCGGATTCGCGGGACAGATTGCGATCCTCCTCGGGAATGGGATGCTCGGCCACTAAATATCAAAAACAAATTAATTAAAATATATATATACCATGAAACGTTCATATTTTATGGGAAAAATTATTCTATTGGCTTCGCTTTGGCATGCAGCATAAAGTTTTGAACTGCAGTTTTGGCATTTAGCTGTCGATTGTCGAGATGGGTGCCCATTTTGGGATATATTGTCAACATATTTTCAACATAAGCGCAGTTAATGGAAGAGGAACACAGTCAAAGGGCAAAAGACAAACAAGGTGCGCTTAACTCAAGTAAAATTATATGGCACATAAGGAAACTAAGGATTAAAATCTATAGATTTCCTAAACAACAGTAAATTCGAATATATAATGGGTCATCCCTTATTCGATGTTAAATTCGTAATGTAAAATGCCAATCTTTAAAAATTTTACACAAGTAATTCAGAAAAGTTGGTACTTTAATACCATTGATTTTATAATCGAGTCTAAATATTTTTAATTGGGCATTACGGGGTATTTCCAAGATCCCTTTCTTGGACACCAAATATTTTTGGGCTTTTAAACAACTAATTATTCACATAAACTGATAGCTTTAGAATTCCCATTATTAAACACATTTTAAGGGGTCAAAATATAAATTTTAAAAAACCATTTAGTAAAAAATAAAAAAAAATTTGGTCATGCACAAAAATGCCATGCTTTGTTTCGACGTTTCTTTTTTTTCAAACATACAAATCTTTAATTTGTTGTGACTTTTCAAATTGGTTTTAGGTAAGTTAATGAAGCTAAATGCAGGTAATTTCGAGCTTTGGCAATAGTAACTTTCAACTGCATTCGAGGACTAGAATTATCTACCAATCAATGGCAATTGCCGTAACAGAGTGTAATGATAACTAATTAGATGGGTATCTACGTCTAGGCAACACTTAGCATGGCTAATAGTTTTGGGAATTGAAATCAAGGTAACCGACTTCATCGAGTTAAGGAATTAATAATATTAGGAACTAAATTAAAAAAACTGATAGTTATTAACAGAGAATTGACTAAATCGCGCAAAGTGCTGAGCACAAAATACGATTTGTTGAACTAAGCTTAAGGCGCTCTATGAGAATAGTTAATGGCTGGCTTAATATGAGGTCTAAGTACAGGTAATGCTGAGCAATGTAGAGGTGTAGTTGTGAGAAAACTTATAGGATGGTGTATTGGCAAGTATTCCTATAATCTAGATAAATTTATTGGACTCTGGATCGTTGAAATTTAAAATTTTAATATTGATTTTAATAGAATTAAACCATTTATAATAAAATCCGAAATTGTTTCTTATAATTTTGTACATATTTCAAACCGTGAAAGTAATAATACAGAAATGGCAAAAGTTTGAATCTTTTAGAAATCATTTTTAATTTTTTTTCGACTCAGGATAAATATTTTCAACGTATGATCTGAATATAACCAAGAATTTAGGCATGTAGATGATCGAGAAGTGAGCTATTTATAGCATTCAAAACGATAGTTATAAATGTCGTTGCTGTTTTGATTTGTTTATGGATGGAATGTTCTGGAGATGATATCTTTTACCAATGCTCTGGTATGAACGATCCCGCCGCCACGGCAATATCAATTCGGCGGCCGTGGGCCCAATGGCCTGATCCGGCGACTCTAGATCTGTTTCCGCACCATCGTCGACCTTCGGTGCATAATGCTGGACGACGATACGCGCCTTGGATGCATCGAAACCCGGCAGGTTTTGGATGTGGGCTATCAGGGAATTGTTATTGGCGCGATCCGAGTCAGCTAATCGTAATTTTTTGCATTCAGTTCATTTATTTTTTGCGCCCAGCAACATTTTATCGTTTTTTTTTTTTGTATTTTTTTTGTTGAAGTGATTGGTTTTTGAAATAATTGGGAAGGCATAAAACAAGAAAAAAATATGTAGAAAGTTCGTTGTTATAGCTTTTATTAGGTTCTCCTTAGGAGGTAGAATAAGAACAAATGCAAGAATACAATAAGAAATTAAAAAGATAAACAGAAATTAAACAGGACTAGCAAAGCTTTCTCAGGAAAAATAAAATCTTTGGTTTAAGACAAGAGTGTTATTTATTTTTTATATATTTAATAATAGTTACCTACTACAGAACTCTTGTTCAGCTACTCAACTAATCGACTTATTTACAAATACTCATAAAACCTTTTGAAGATTCCTTTCATTTCAGGCAAAAAAAATATACGATTAATAAAATGATGGCATTTTTGTGTGAACAAAACAAGAAAGGTGGGCCACAACCAGAATATGGAAAATTTCAGATATTGCCATATGACTTCTGATTGGGTATAGAAAACTGGCTCGCAGAGCAGGAGAAAAACAATGATATATATGTATAGAGAGAGCCCATATAACCATAACCATCTAGGGGCTGCCTATGCTCTATGTAGACAACCTCAAAACTTAAATGTTTTTTTTTACGGAAAATTTAAATTAGTTAACAAATAGTGATGACTTTCAGGAAGTAATGAGAACACTTACGTGATGATTTGGCGGTGAAGGTCAGGCCATCATCCCAATCGTCGCTGGGGCCAACAACATTGATCTCGTTGGGATTCTGTTGGCACTCCTCGGCTGTTTCATTAAGCACATTGTTAATATAGTCTTTGAATGGTTCGAATTCGAGTTAACAAATAAATGGGCACAGGCAGAACAATTATGTATGTGTATTGCAGTTTGGGTTATTGTTTTCGATTAGTGCACAAATTTCGTTTTCAGGATTTTTTGGCCAATGTGTGTTTGTTTTTTTTTTGGCATCAGTTGGAAGGAAGAGCGATGCAGGGGAGAAAGAGAAGGATTCGGTTGAAATCAAATTAGTTACCAATTAATTACCAAATTTTTAAGGTTTTCTCCTTATCAAATCAATTTAGGCAACAGTTTAGAAAGGTGTTTATAAGGTATTTTGTTTAAGTATATTTTACACTTTAATATTTGGCAAACCATTGACAGTTCTTGATTATAACGTTGACTTGCCATTTCTACCTTACAAACGCCTTAAGTAAACTTTTTTAATTTGGAAAATAAATATAAAAATTCGTTTTAGTAGGGTGCATTACGTGACAACAAAAAGTAAAGGCTTAGTGAGTTAGGTTAGTATGACGCATGAAATAGTGTTTGAAACTTAAAATTCACTACACTTTTCTCTACAAACTGAAAGAATAGACAGCGCATGATAATTTTTTAAAACATTAATATGCCGTCTGATCATTGTACAAAGGAGAACTCAAATGAAATAAAAATAACATAATTCTACAAATTGATTTGAGAGAAACTCTACGGACTTTTTTTTTGACTGGAACGAAATACTTCGATTTTTTTTTTAGATTATTGCTGATTTAAGCGTCATTTACCTATTTCTAATCTACGATATTTGTTAAGTGAATTGTGAGAATGTCTTTTTCTGTAAGATTTTTTTCGTGAATGGTTTGAACTCGATTCCGTACCATTGGTGAGCTGCTTGGTGGTGCCATTCTGTTGGAAATCATGGAACGAGACATGATTCTGCTTAACGTTCTCCTTGGCCTCCTGCGGATAGTGGGGGATATCCATTAAAATAGGATTCTTGGTTTACAATGCCTCAGAGATCTCTCACCTTATTGCTGGCCCCACGTTTGCTGCGTTTGTGATGTTTGCGATCATTGAACATTCGCCTAAAGTTCATTTGCATTTTGTAATTGACCTGAAAGAAAGAATATTTATTTAATTAAGAATTCAATCCTTAAAAATTGGCAAAAACCAGTGGCTGGTGCTTTGAGTGTTTAGGTACTCACCTGGGTGGACAAATCTCTGTCATCTACTGCGTGTCGGCTATAACTAAGACGACGGTGCTGTAAAAACATTGATGGAGCAAATTAAATTTCGAAATCATAAAATGCCAGCACAATGATATAAGTAGAGAGATGTGGCCTTGCAATTGTATTGCAAGATAGGACAGTTACATTTAAATAGATAGTATATAAAATACGATTAATTGCTTTCAACTAACATAAACACGAACGGATTAAGTGTAAACGGCTTTCCATAAACATTTGTACATCCTATGAGTAGAGATTAAAATTGATTGAGTGCTGAGCTTGAAATACATTTTCCCAAGTATTTTAGGTTTACGATATATAATTGTGAACACAACAAAAGTTGGCAGACAAATTATATGGGTGTTTAGTGTGGTTTCGACAATGAGCTTAAAGAGTTCAATACAAAATTTAAAAGGAAAATAAGTAGTTTGGAAAACATAAACAAATGCAGATTGTAAGTAATAAATAAAACATTTATAGTGTGATATGATATTTAAAGGATATTTTATAAACTTGTGTGCTCCATAAAGATATTTATTTAATGATTGAATGACGAATAACACCTATTTATTTAAAGTGAACTAAATTGATAAAAAAAATAACAGTGTTACTTTTCAGTGTTTATTTGAACTTTTAAAATAAACTTTTACATAAGGCATTGACAAAAAATTAGTTGAAATGTTTAGAAATATATATAAAAGATTATTGAAATTACGCTATATACAATTATGCAGACTTTTTTTTATTGGGTAAATCTTTATAGTAATAATAAAAAAGAAAATGGTATATTCCATTTATTTCTTTTATATCTCAGTAAATTTTATTTCTAATATTTATTATTTTCGTATGTTTGTCGTTGAAAATAAATAATTGGATGTAAAGATTTCATTTAGAAATTTTTATTGAATAAAAAGCATTTATTTACCACATAATGTCATAAATAAATATAGCTTTTCTGTTATCCGATAAGTGAAAAGGGTATATTGATTTAAAATATTTAAAGCCTAATAATTTTTTTGTTTTTCTATAAATATTTAAAATGTTGTATTTAATCATTCTTGTTACTGAAATCTGTGGGACACTGGATGTCATTTAGGTAAATTAGTTAAGCATAATTTAAAGATTGTTTTATGTATTATAACACCAATTAGAAGACACATTTAGAATATTTGCAGTCAAAGAGTACAGACACACAACGTGTAACATTTAACAAAGTAGTTATCATTAGTTAATTCGAAAGGAGTTTATCAAAATTAACCAAGAAACAGATCAAATTAATTAGAACAAAAACCAATGAACCAATTTATTCGTACCATTTGTATTGAGGCCTTTATCGCGATATTTTGAAAATTTTTATTTTTGATTTGTTAGGCACACGAAAGTTTGAAGCGGTTTTGATTTATTAAAACACGTTGTTGAGAAGTTGATGACGAGTATCGAAACAACGGGAAAGAAATTAAATTAAATGATTAATCACAAATATATTTATATAGAAATATCAGATTCATATATGTATATAGTAAGCCATAAATATTTATATTCAGAGCCAGAAGCGTAGAGTGTGAGAAAACTATATGCCCAAAGTACAGAACAAAACGGAAAAGTAGAATGTGAAGTTACAGTAGAACTTGGCATAAAGACTCTTTAGTGACTACTATAGAGCGAAAAGGTGGTGACATAGATTGATAGATATATAAAATATCAATTAAGAATAGGAACTTTTGGGCTGTGATAATCTTTAGGGGTAATTAAAGTCAAAACTGTTTGCTATAGAATATCCAACCAAGAGTTTATTATTACAAAACGTGAATTGGAAATGAAGATACAAATATACGTCCAATACATACCCTTCTATAAGGCTTCAGTTCTTCGGCCAACAGATGATGGATCCTGGCATCAGTCAGATCCTTCTTGGATGGATTATAATCCAGCTCAGCCATGTCCAGATTACGCGAACAGGTATTGTCTAGATTTGTTAGACTGGGACTAAAAAATGTTTCAAAGAGGCATCAGTATAAGTTTACCATAAATATGATTATAGATTAAGTACATATATACTTTAGGTCAAAACCAAAGAAGTGGTGAAACGAATTTTAGATATAAGAAGAAATAGAAAGTTTGAGCTGGAGTCACATAAATCCTTTCTTAAGACGTAACCTATAAAAAAGTATCTAATAATAATTTAGTAATTAAATACATTTTTTGATTAGAGATTTCTGTGACTCCTTTGCTCGTTTTGTGTTTGTTAGTGGCCAAATTGTTTAAACTAATGTTTTGTGCAAGTCCATGCTAATATTCGGTTAAATTCACTACATCAATTTTGAATTTATTCGTACTCATGCAAATATACGATCAGTGGGAGTACAGGCAAGATTATCGTTCAATCCAAAATTCGTTTACCAGGTGGTGTATATGGTTGGCGGTGCCCACCTGCCCCCAATATAGTTATTGGTATAGTTCCGGAACAGGGCGCTCATCGACTCGGTGCCCGTCATCTGACCGATGGTGGATGGATTCCGCCTCATCACCTCCATGGCATCGCGCATTGTGAGTTTGGAGTACGTCTCGATGATCTTTGGCTCAGCGCCCTAAATTAAGATGGCAAAAAATAATAAATCGGTAAAGTACGATTTGTTTTTTATTAATATGCTTATTACTAAATATTGTCTTCGTATTTGTTAAGGTTCTTTGGTGAATTCTTTTTGGTGGATTTTCTTGAATCTCTTTGCTGCTGCCTCCAGCCCTTGTCATCTGCATTCGATGAGCTACCCCTTCTATTCTTGTTCAATTCTCGCTCATAGCTTTGCATGGGTATATGGTCCAATAAATGCAATTCATTAACTTCCTGAGTGGCAGTTTAGGTTTAGATATAAAGAGGCCAACTTCTAGATATGCCCAACCCAATCTCCCCACTTAAATGTTTAAAATACCTTGAGGTCTCTGATCAGCAGCGGGCGAATGAAGCGATTGTCGAAACGCTTGAATTTATCACGCACATTGTAGTTGCCTGTCTTGCCCACAATATCCTCAATGCCAGCCATCAAGTGATCCATAAACTATTAGAAAAGACACTTGAGTAATGGAATATTTCTGGTAACCATATAGATAACTGACCCTTTCATGAATTCGCTCATTCATGGTTGGCTTGCGCTTATTGGCCCGTTTCACATTAAGGATCTTAACCAGCGGTTTGATGGTGATGCCTTGCAGGAAGACGGTAAAGTAAATCACAGCTATCGTGGTAGTGACAAACATGTTCTTCTGCTTGACCACATTCTCATCGACCAGAAGTACCAGGGCAAAGGCCACAGCACCGCGCAATCCGCCGTAGGACATCACAAACTGATCCACTCTGGATAATTTATGCAGACGGAAGCGGTTGGCAAGGGCGGAAAGCAAAATAACACCTACAATATCATTAAAAATGAATTAGTAATTGGTTTAAGTTTTACATCATATTAAAATACCTACCAATAACACGAAACACCGAACAGAAGGTAATGGTCAGCAGAACAAAACACGTATTCCATACGTGCATATTGTTCACTGTGGCCACGCCTAGGAACATAAAGATAATGGTCTCCGCCGAACTGGACAGCATCTTCAAGGCATATTTAACAGTCGTATGCGACTTTTGTGAAATATTCGATTCCACATAGTTTTTCATCGTTATACCACAGAAAGTGATGCTGTTGAATAAGAAATGTGAGCAAGAGATTCGAAAATTGGTTACATATAACACAACTCACGCTAAAATGCCGCTCATGTGGAAGATTTCCGCATTCAAATAGGCCAAGTAAGCCATCACAAATATGAAAATAGGTTCTATGACTCGCACATGATCGGTGAACCGGGTTACCAAACCTGTGAGAAAGCCCCAGATGATGCCTGAGGAAATGAAACAAATTGCAAGTTAAAATCCAGTTAAACTGGCAAAATCGAGTAAAAAAAATGCACTCACCTATGGCAGTGCCACCCAGTGCAACCACGAAGAAGGAACCCACACCGCTGGCAATGTCCTGGGCGATGATTTTGTCCAAGCCAATCTCATTGTAGGACTCCATCATGTGGTACATCACAACCTGTGAGGAAGGAGGAGGAGGGGAATGGAGAAAGGTGATTTAGTTAAACATGTCGGGCACTTGTTGACTTAATTGCTCCCACATCCTGTGGCCCACACTCGCCATCGATAAACCCATCTTACCGTAACGGCATCGTTCAACAAGGACTCGCCAAAGACAACAATGTACAGGATCTCGTTGACGTGTATCTCCTCGAATACGGCCAAAACAGCCACCGGATCCACAGCGGATATTAGGGAGGCAAACAGAAATACATCCATCAGGCCCGGAGTCTCGGTTTCCCCGTAAATTCCCATCTTTCCGCAGGCGTATAGCGAACCACCTTCAAGGGAGAAAATCAAATAAAATAAAAAAGGGTAAAATTAAATCAGGCGATGCAACGATGGTATGGGTATGCAATCTATTTCCAACCCATCAATTTCCCAGAGTCCATCTTGAACTTAATTAGATACTGGCCAATCGAAGGCCGTCCGTGTGGCATTGACATTGCTGCAGCTGTTTGTTGTTCTCGAAATGCATCTCCAAGTCACTTAAGTCAATTGATAAGCGTGTTTTCCCAAGAATAATTGAGTTAGCAACGACGCAAATTGAATGTTTGCCATAAAATTGCTTGTGAGGCTCTTCAACTAGCACAAATTGTGCCACCAGTAAATATTGTAAGCTGTAAAAGCTTTCAAAGGAATCCATTTTATTATTTATTTTTACATTATTCACAAGTTTTAATGAGTCTTAGTCATAACAGAATGTGTTTATTATATCATTTTTCCGCAATTTTAAATAGGTTTATTCACCATTTGAAACCATAAAAAGCAAGGTATGGATATAATTTAAGCTAAGGAAATCCAAAAATATAAGTCTTGTAATGTTATGGGAATCTGATTCTGGTATAATATTTGGGAAAACTGGTTTAGATACTTAAAATTTGCCATAAAAGCAAGAGGAAAACAGTATATTATATCCCTCAAATGAATTATTGAAGCGGAATTTTCATTTTCCAAATGAATCACGAGAGATAAGTTAGCAGCATTGTCCGCCCATTGTGATATGTAATCCAATTTGTTAAGCATAAGTAATTGGCAAGTCTGGATGTTTTGGAGGGGTAAATGTGGCAACTCGAGCGTATATCCCGCCGTCCGTTGGCGGTTTCGGTCATTCATCTAACTGGCGTCTGCCACCCCTTTTTACCCACCCATGGTGCCCCCCATTTTCCATTGTTATGGGAGCGCTTCAACATCTGCGGTGGCAGCTTCAGCATCCACATCAATCGCATGTTTTGTTCCACTCTGTGTAAATCACGTCTAAGCGGTCATCTAGTTAGGGCAGTGCCACGCCTCTCGCGTGTCGCCTAATTTATTGGTAGTGAAAAAACATACGCCCCCCAAAACCGCCCTCTTCTAATGGGGGTTACAAAAGGAAGGCATTTTTTTATGGATGATTCAGACGATTCAGCTTCTGTTTACTCATCTGTATCAGGTGTCTAATTGCAGGCGTTGCTGACACCTTTTGTAATTGTCAACCATTTGACATGTACTGTTCACATATTTGCTTTGTTCAGGCTGGGAGTACTTCAAATGAGATTATGTACTGCGAATTGTATTTGTCAATATTTTACAACCAATAATTAAAAGCGAAAAAGTATAAAAAAATTGTAGCCACTCGAGGTAATATAATTTTACAAATTAAAGCATGTTTATTATAGTTTCATGGGTTGTAAACCATCTGAAAAATATGGATTATTTATTCAAAAATGAATAAAACGTTCATCCTTTTGTGAAATAAAGCATTGATACATTAAACCAAAGTCCCTATCCAACAATAAATATTGGTTATAGCCCAATAGAGACTATATTAAACCATTGTTTGTCATTAATAAATTTAGCTGAGTTTGCTCATGTGCCAGCCCCCACCAAAACAAACAAATATAATGGACCTCACACAATCGACGCATCTAAACGACAACTTCCATTGACCGGTTTTTCAGTTGATAGACATAGATGGATGGGATTAACAGTCGACTACCTTTGTTGACTTGGCCATCAGCCAAAGGACAGGAAAATTCCCCCGAGAACCAGGAATCGAAACCAACTCGGATTACCGCACTACTCACCGATGGTGGCTATGTTGAAGATGGTTCCGACCACCGCCATCAGCAGGATGGTGCCCAGGTTGTCGAAGAACAATCGATTGGGCATAAAGTAGCCTGCGTCCAGGATGATCGGGGGCAGCATGTAGAAGAAGAAGGTGTTCGGGGTCAGTGGGGAGACGGCCACATCGGTGCAAAAATAGAGCACCACCCCAATGACCACGCCCACGACAATCAGCAGGCACGACTCCGGAAATATTAGATGCAGTTTGGGCGTCATATGGAAACCTGAATAAATGGTAAGTTATATAAACTTTCTTGCTAGATAAACACGAACAATTCGGCAACGCAAAAGCTTATAAAATTGTGGGTGTTGGAACGGAAATATTTCCATTAATTACAGACAGCCTGCTATAAAAACGAAAACATTCCCATTTGATGGAAACGATGGCAAATTTGCATGCAATTTCGAAGGGGCTCTTGCTTTGGCTTTAGTGAGCCCTTTCTAGTTTATACCCTTTTGCCTTTTATACACCACTTCCCCAACCCCTTAATACTTCATCATTGCCCCAGTCCCCCAACAAAATATTTTGGGTTCAAGGGCACAAAAACGAAGGATAATTATGCTTCGTAAACAAAGCCAAAATGGTGGGAAAGTTTCGTTAAAAATGTAAGGACTCAATTTGCATTTTTGGTGTTCGGAATTTAATTAAAAACTTATAGGGTGCTCATTCAATTTAAGTACTAAGTTTATCTTTAAATATAAATTAAGAACAGTGGGGAATTACCAACTTCTTTAAATATCATGTTCGAAAGATGTCATAATTCAACGAAATAGTAATGCTATAAACAATAATTTTACAGCTTTAAAAGTTTTCAGACTTAAGGAAAGTTTCCAACATAAATTTTCCTATCTGGCTGTAAAAACTCGAGTTTATTTCCTCGTTAAGTGCCAAGCCTCTCATTTTACAATCGACCTTTCCACTAGTTTGTTTTTGGCCAAATGGCATTCGCAATCAAGTTTCGCCTACATATTTTCGGGCCCCACTTAAAAATAGAAATTGAAATGGAAACAGGATACCACAGAAAAAACAACCTGCCATCGTCCTTGATGTTGGAAATCGGATTTTCTCTTGCCCTGCAATCAAGGTTACGGGCAGGGTTACGGATAAACCTGTCTGACAGTGGTATATGGCCGACATTTGGGGCCAGAAATAAATAAAGCAAGTCTTAAAACCTTGGTAATGAAGCCTCGAGAGGCTTGAAAGTGGTCGAGTATCAAAGTAAATGATAAATGCATTGCCTTTTGGGCCCAATTGTTGCTCGGGGCGCAGGGTCAAGGCCCCAAAAACCTACGGCTTGTTGCACACATCCATCCTGGGCTTATGCAATGTCCTTCGGCCAGGACTCGGACCCATTCGCCTACACGGTTACGTCGCCGGCTTGACGCAAATCTGCATGTTGGCGTCGTCGTAGTTACAGGAATTACATAAACCATATTGATTTTGCCTGGCAACAGCAGAAGGAAAATACAACAGACACCCACGCCCAGGAACACAAACTGTGGCTTTTCTTACACAGCTAAAGGATTCGTTGTTGCTATGGAAAAACCACATTTTCCGCTGATTGTGCACTGGTTTAATCTACATTATTTTTGTTAATTGGCCAGTTTTAATGGGTTAAAATATGACAATTTTAGTGCCACTCAGAAGGTAAGTTAAATATCCTAATTAAAACTTCTGAATATATTCAGATAGAGATTCAACAGTTATTTGGGACTCTAAAAATAAAAATTATTTTTTTTTAATATTTATATAAGATTTTCAAGTTTATTGGTAAACTGATTTCATTAGGGGAAACCAAATGTATCTGTATTCATGGAAATTTCTTATTACGTTTCCATCATACTTTTCCTATCGAGTTATAAATAAATAACTGCTGTTTTCGGTTTCTGGTTACATCATATCATAAGAAAACTTTTTGCTAAAGTAGTATTTATCAAAATTTTTTTGATTAATTAAGATGTATACTTCACTCACCGATTTTCGCTATACTGGCGGACAGAATCCAGATTCCGATGATGAACGGCGTTTTTACCCGAGCAAAATCCACACTGGAGAGGGGATACCTCTCCATCTTGTGCCCTTCGCCGCCCTCCGCATCCTGGTCGCTGGATCTGAGTGGCTCGGCACGTGGCAACCTCACGGGTGGCGTTGGATCCACATCCACCCCATCCATGGGCGGGCTTTGGGGCAGCTGTTTTGGTCAGGAAGGAAGAGTAAATTAAATCACGCATTAGCGGTTTATAATTGGTAAACGGTATGGGGAAAATTGATAAATGCCAATACCACCACCAAGGCAAACATTAAATATTTACATGGGCGTATAAACTGCGGAAAATAAAATCCAGACCTGGTGGGTTGGGTATATCAGGGGTTGAGTTAAGCGTTTGGAAACACGCCATTGAAAATTACAATCATGTTTTATTAATGACGCACTCGAACACGATAGTGTCTGGTTTTTGCTTTTTGATATTGAATCGTCAGCGATTCCAATTTCTACACATAAATTCTGGTTAAAATGTTGTTCTAGGTCAGTGATGAAAACTGCTAGAATGTCGGATATATTTCCCCTCTTCAATAAATAAATAACGAATTGTGTTTTGGGTTTAACAAGTTGGAAACAGACTATACTTTTGTTTGCACAGATATTCAAAAATGACGTCAAATCATTGCTAAATAAATGAGGCTTCCCAATATTTTAATTGGTTTCTGATGCAAGTTCAATGACATCTATACTTAGCAATCCTTTTTAGCTTTACAAAAAAAATACGTTTTGCTAAGATACGTAATTAGTAAATCAATCTTTTTTAAGAATCATGATAGGAAATCACATGTATTTGCTAATTAGATCATTTCGGTCATGGTTTGAATTAAACATAAAAGAACAATGTATTGGATAATGTTTGTTGTTATGGGAGTATACGTTTATCATAACCCATCTACAATCACACCTTTTAGTTTCCCATATAAACTTGTCGATATTTCATCGCTAATTACTGCAATTAAGAGTATAGTTTATGACCCTAGCATTTTTTAATTAAGCTACAGTCAAACTTCTTTAGGGAAATTATGAAAAAGGTATAAGGTTAAAGATTAAAAGACTTGCATACATATTTTAAAATTTTTTCCTATGGAATATTTCTAACGGATTATATATAATTGAAGCACAACAATTCAAAAATAGTTAATACCAAAGAGTATAATCTTCAATGTGTTTTAAAAGGTAATACCTAAGAGTATATCCTTCAATGTTCCCTAGTATATAAAAATGTGATTCAAAACTAAATATATTTATTGAAGAAATGTTCATAAAAGATTCTCGCTAGCGCATATCTACTGTATTTCTAACGACTCCCGGAGCTTCAGTAATTGCAATCACCTAAAGAGCTTTAGTTGCACACCGGATGTGCTGGTAATGCCTGGCTTTATGGCCATTGAATTGGATTGTGGATTTCGGATTGTGGGCATACTCACATTTAGCTGGGTGACCGCATCCGCAATATCCTTGCCATCCTTTGCCGAAGCCACGCCCACGGCACTTGTGTTCGGCCGCCCGTGGGCGATTCCAAGGATTAGGATGAATCCGCATATGAGCAGCATCCTTTTTCCGAGAATCCCCCGCCAGTCGGAGAATGTGCAGGTTGTTTTGCGTACTGCCAATGCTGTTTGCGGTTCTGTTCTTGTTTTGGTTTCATCTCTCGGTGGCGATGCTATTGCATCGATTTGATTCGCAATCATGGGATTAACTAACTCTATACTTTTGGGGGGGAAGTCCGAGCGGGAGGATTTGGTCCTCCAGCAGGCTCTGCGGGCCAGATTCATCTGCTGCTGCAGCGCCGGAGTGGCACTGTCGTAATCCTGCTCCGTGCGGTTGCTCATTGTGATCTGGATTTCACTCTCCTGATCCTGGCATGCTATAATGTCCTTCTACTTAGCCAGTTTCCTTCTTAGTTGCTGTGTTCTGTTTTTCTAATTTTTAACTGCAAGGAGAGAGAGTAAATAAATATTAGATAACTCGTTGGGCATTTATTTTCTATTATCACTCTACAAGTCGTCCGACCTGCACCAATAACCAATCGAAACTGGTTAAAACCCACGGATTTTACCAACCATGAAGACTTCTGGTCAAAATCCAGATTTACGCCATAAATTCGCACATTTATATTTAATCTTTTTCTGATTAATTCTCTTTGATTTGGTGGCGCATTCTTTTTGGACCATTGCAAATAAAAATGTGCTAAAATCAAATTGGATTTTCATCTACCTGCGGCACGTGATTTTCTATAAACTCAGAGCAAAGTGGGTGTGGATTTATTTAATCATCGTTTATTATATGCCGCAGCTCAAATCACTTATCCAAAAAGCTCTTGTTTATTTCCAATGTTAATTTGCAATCTATTTGCAATAAATCCAGTTAAATTCAAGTACTCTTGTGTGTCCACTTAAAACATCGCCATTCTTTTTTAAGATTTAACACAAAATTATCGGGCAGACACTGTTTGTTTTTCGAACTGGATCGATCCAGTGCACTTAGCGCCATGCGAAATTAGCGAGTTAATACCAATAGTAAATATGGCCAAAAGGCAGGGTAAACAAATATAAGTGGAACTGCCTGCCAGTTGTGTAGTGCGATAAGATGTGATTTGTATTATTGGTGAAATTTTATTAGCAACAGTAGCGAAAGCTTATCTATCGAGTGCGGGAGATAAAGCCAACCAATTAAATGATTGGGTCGATTCCGAGTGTCACATTCGAGATGCTGATAAATTGGAGGGCAATGTACGAGTCGATTTCTGTAATTGTCTCGACTTGAGCAATTGAATCTGTTTATACTGTTTCGTTTTCTGTTTGTGCAAGTGTCGACCATCTCATTATATAAAATTGATGGCCAATTTAGGTTTATCCCTCAAGGCGTCCTCCATCATCATATTCAATTGATCCTGGCAATGGCCGTGAATTTTCTAGGCTTTCCCACACAACCAACTACTTGGTGCAAAGTGGTGATTAGATTACCGCCCACAGAATTTCAAGTTCAGTGACTTTGATTACAAACCGTTAACAGTTGAGCAACTAACCGGCTTTAATCGAGAATTTAACCTAAATTCCCGCAAAATCTGTCTGAATCAAACTCAAGTGGCATTAGTGCAAAACCGTTTGTTTTAATTAATTGCTTAACAGAAGAACAGTGGAATGCATAAGAAATACATAAATCAAATTTGTGGAAATGATTTTAATTAACAGTACAGTAAATATAAAATATTTAAATGTAAACAAGAAAGAACGCGAGGTGCGAGGGAGACAAAGATATGCATGCAGCAATCGCTTGTTTCCGATATTGTACAATTTTTAAGCTTTTATAGTTTTTTTATAGACGGACATGGCTAGTATAACTCGTCTAGTGATCCTGATCAGGAATATATTTACCATATAGGGCTGAAAACGCTTCCTTTTACCTGTTACATACTTTCGAACAAGTCTAGTACATGTCTTCTTATATATTTCAATAAACATTTCATTTTATCTTGTCTTATATTACCTAGGTAACTCGAAACTTTATGACACTGAAGGGAAACTTGAGTTTCCTGTTGCGGAAAATGTAATACCAAGTAGAATACAACTTTTGCGATGCCACTAGAAAAGTTTCATTGCTCCTGTCCCACTGTAAGAAATCATTTTGCAAGTATATTCTCACAACGTTGACCCAACATCTATAGCCATAAGTCCTTGAGCATGAACGAATTGCGCCACGATTTAATTGATTTCTTCGCACATCGCCAGTCGCTGAACACCCCCGAAATGTGTTAATATTTAATTTGAGTTTACTTTTTGGTCTGCAGAGCCCCTACACCTTGGGGTATAGACGTGAATGGGATTGATAGCCCCACAAAACCCCTTCCTGCCAACTACCCACTCCGTAAACTTTTGTTTATTTTGGCCAGTGAGGGCGACTAATTCCCGATACAAATGTAAATATTTGAGACGGGAATTTTCGTTCTTTCATGGCCAGAGTTCAAGTTTCGCCAGCGGAAATAATAAATTTTTAAAGGTCAAATGATTTTGAAAAAAAACTATACTATATCTGCGAAAAATAACCAATTGGGAATACATATTGTATGTAAGATGTATATTTTGGCCTGCCACCAAGAAAATGTTTTTCTGTGCCCACCGACTGAAAGACTTTTTAGCAAAATAAAAATAAAAATAAATAAATGTATAAAAAAGCCAACCAAGTAAGTTTATTTTTCCGTAATGCAACGCAATAAACCTGGAATGGAAGGAATTGCATCGAAAATATGTAAGGGACTGTACTGGAAAAAAGTTGAGTTGACTGTACCAAATCTGAAAAGCAGAGTTGCATTTTTGGTGATTCTTTTCTGTAATTCGATACAATGAACATGGAATAGAATGAGAGGCATCGAAAATATATTTGGGAATGTACTAGAAAAGCAGATTGTCATTTGAGGTGACTGTACCAAAATTAAAAAGCATAGTTGCATTTTTGGCGATTACAAAAAAAAGCAGTAACTTAAAATGATTTCGCTTCGGTAATTTACTTTTCAGTTAAGGATCGTTAAATAAATAAACATTTCCAGCTGTCACTGGCACCCATTAATGTCAACTTTGTTTGTTTATTCAGGTTCCCGAACTTTGCCCCAACCGTTTTGAGGTTACGCTTTCGGCGACAGCTAATCGATAACATGCGCCACAAGGGAATATGGAAAATACCATCGCAGTTGCAGGGCGAAATTATTTATAAACAAATCAAAGCCAATTGATGTATGAAAAATGCAACAGCGAGTGCAACGGCAACGGCAGTCTTTAAACTGGCCGAAACCCCCTCGAACCGGTTTAAGGCGATTATCCAGAATACAAACTTGGGGACCGTGGCAGCTAACTTGGCCGAAAATTGAATCAATGCATCTGGCAGCCGAAACTATTTGCGACTGAGAATATCGTTAAATGCTTATTATACCACATGCCCGAGTTTATGGAAATTCCGACACTGCTAACTTAAATAATGCCCGTTTACGAGCACAAAAAGTATCTATTGTCTGGTCTGTGTAAATTCGATTGGCTTCCTTCCTGGACTCGTAAAATGTTTTTACGGACATGTTCCGGCATAAATAGTTTTCAATTTATGTTACAACTTGGATTGATTTTGTTAGGTTTAAATAGTTTTAATACGAAAGCGGATGCCAGCAGGTGACCAACAAACTGTTGATGACATATTTTATCATTGGTATCAGTTTAACAGCTTGAAATGATAGGGAAAAACATTTGCATTGATTATAATCCACGATTGGTTTTAATATCTATTGGCATTATGCAGTCAAGTGACAGGTGAACATTGCTTATTATTTGCTGGCACGACTTTGTTTTCTGCGCCTGTGGCTCTGAAAATAAATATTTTTACAAAGTAACAATTATAGATTCAACCCAGTAAGAATTTCAACGGATAATATGTATGTATAATTACATTGCAATTTTTAAATTGAAACTTTATTAAAGCCCTACAATGAGAGGTAATTAAGACATTTTTTAAAAGTAATATAAATTAGTAATTAACTTCAATATAAATTTTTTGCCTTTACTTTGTGTTATAATTTTCGCCAACGTTTGTTCTACTACCTAAATTTTTCAGCAAGCATTCTTCATCCTAAAACAAATTTGACTCGACGTGTTCAATTCGAAAAGTCAATTTGGCTTAGCCAAGGAACATTAAGCAGAGAATTAGGAACTACCCCTTTTTTATCTCATCATATTTGGGACGAATTTTGTTTCGTCATGTGTAGACCTTTATGGCCACACAACCAAAAAAAAGAAAAGATCATTTACATAAAGGAGTTGCAAAAGTAAATTTACATAAATGTATATGTAGGGGAAAAAATAAAATATAATAAAACGAAAGTCAAGAAATAAAACAAAATCGAACCATTTCTTACTGACTCTCGAACTTTGTTCTACTAACAGAAGCAGTGGGTCTTATGGTTGGAACCCCTCATAAACTTACATCATTATTGACATGAAAAATTATTATTTGAGGGTATCCTTACGTTCTTGAAATACAGCTTTGTTTACTTATATCAATAGGGGAGCCACAAAGCGCCAAAAAGATGGGAGATAACGTTTTTCACCCTATTTTCGCTCTAATAAATATTACATGTTTTCTATCGATAAATATATGTAACATCTTATAAATATTTTACATCACGGCTTGAAACTAACTTAAATTTAATTTTACTTTTTAAATAAATAACGCAGGCCGACTTTGATGTTTATCTAAGAGATACCAAAAAAGGAAAGACGGATATTACTTTGTTGATTAATACTGGTACTTTGGACGTGCCTAAGTTCCCCTTTAAATAAACCAACAAATCAAAATTTAAAACCTCTGCTTAATGTAAGAAAATCTTACGACTTAAAATAGCTGACCAATAAATTAAAGCCCACTGCTTAAGTGACCTTATTTTTATCTACAATAGAAATGTTGTTTCCTAGAATGAGATCACCTTACTGATAAAATATTTCAGGCAATCGGTCAGCTTGAACCTGGACGTAATTAAAAGCTTATAAATCGATTTTCTATATTTTTCGTTTAATCCTCAAATGGATTTTTTGGCAATAGCTTTTGTACGGTCTACTTGAGATATTGTTCAATTGATTACAAGCCAAAATAGATTTGTGTATGGTTTATAACAAAAGGCATTATTACATCGATTTTGGTCAAGGTCTAATGATGTAGACTCATCATAAATCGAAATGTTCTTTGTCATACAAGGACGTGTCACTTTTTATCAGATACAAAATATAAATGAGCAATGGAATTTATAGTATTTATTGGTAATGATATGCACTGGTCAGCAGGTAACATGTTTCTGGGAAATTTGATTTATGAAGCCCTGAAAACAGA